AGCCCCTTCCCTAATATCCTGCAAATATGCACTTCTTCCATCTGGATGTTAATCTGTATTCTTTATCATATCCTTTTATAATAAACCAGTAAACATAAGTTTTTCCCTGAGTTCTGTGAGCCATTCTAACAAATTACTGAACCCAACTGTGGGAACCCCAATTTACAGCCAATCAGTCAGAAGTACTGAGACTTGTGATTGGCATCTGTAGAGTGGAGAAGGGCAGTCTTGTGAAATTGAGTGCTTAACATGTGGGATCTGGTGCTATCTCCAGGTAGGTAATATCAGAATTGAGTGAAATCATAGGACATCCAGCTTTGTTGCAGAGAATTGATTGATGTGTAAAAAACCCACAAATCTAGTGTCAAAAGGGTTGTGAGTGAGTGTGGAAGCAGTGTGAGAATAAAGGAGACACAGAAGGAGTGTGTTTTTCCCTTATAATTACAATAATACTAATAATTGCTTTATATTTGCTTTTATAATTGCTTAGGCATTTGTCTTTAGTATGATCTTTATTTCTTCATATGGCATTGAGTTGCCATCTAGTGTATTTTCGTTTCAACCTGTAGGACACCCTTTAGCACTTCCTGTAGGGCAAGTCTAATGGTAACGAACTCCCTCGGCTTTGGTTTATTTTGTAATGTCTTCATTTTCCCCTCACTTTTGAAGGGCAGTTTTATCTGATATAGGATTCCTGATTGACAGTTTTTTTTTTCTTTTTGAACTTTAAATATATCAGTGCACTGCCTCCTGCCTTCCACAGGTTTTTTAATGGAAAATCCATAAGTTATCTTATTGATGATCCCTTGTATGTGATGCATCATTTCTCTCTCATTGTTTTCAAGATTTTTTTGTCTTTCAACAATTTGATTATAACATGTCTCAATGTAAGTATCTTTGAGTTCATCATACTTCAAGTTTGTTAAGCTTCCTGGATGTTTATATTCATATCTTTCATCAAATTTTGGAAATTTCTGGTTATTTCATCAAATAGTCTCTCTACCACTTTTCTTTCTCTATCTCTCTTCTGGACTCCTACAATGCATATATGCTGATTCACTTGCTAGCATCTCACAGGTCCCCTAGGCTCTGTTCACTTTTCCTCAATTCTCTTTCTTTCTGTTCCTCAGATTCCATAACTTAATTGTTTTATCTTCGAGTTCACTGATTCTTTCTTTTGCCTCCTCAAACCTACCCTTGAACCTCTCTTGCAAATTTTTCATTTCAGCTGTTACACTTTTCAGCTCCAGAATTTCTTTTTGGTTTCTTTTTAGGTTTTATATCTTTTATTTATAGTTTCATTTTGTTCATACATCATTTTCTTGATTTCTCCACATATTCCTTTAGTTCTCTGAGCATCTTTAAGAAAGTTGTTATAAAGTCTTTTTCCAGTAGATCTGCCATCAGGTCTTTCTCAGAGAAAGTTTCTGTTGGTTTGTTGTCTTTCTTTGAATGGGACATACTTTCCTACTTACTCGTATGCCTTGTGATTTTAATTTGAAAACTAGACACTTGAATCTAATAATGTGATAATCATGAAAAGTATATTCTCTCCCTTCCCCATGGTTTGCTGGGGTGTTTAGTTCTGTTTTGATTGGTAAAGGCTGTCTCTATGCCAAGGATCAGTATGACGTGTGAACTTAAGATCTTACCAGGTCTTTTCTGAGTCTGCACCTTTCCCTGGGCATGTGTGGTGACTTTCTAATTTCTCCCATATATGTGATTGATTTTGAATACCCTAGTCTTTAATGTCTGACTCTGAAAATAGAAAAAAAAAAAAAAGAGGTAAATTAAGTGTGGGGGAAAAAAGGTACCAGCCCTTTAAATCTCCTGGAAGTCACTTCAGCTAAAAGGGGAGGAGCTTCCAGAGATAAGCAGAGGTGTAGCAACAACAGCAACCCACCTCTGTGTCTGCACCTCCATTATCAGAAGCAGCAATCAGCAATCAGAGCACAGGTCCCTGATAGTTGGAGGACGGGGTCCTTATTGCCACTCTGGTTCCTGCAAACTGTGTACAAGCTGATTCAGGAACATGTGCACAGCTGTCTGCCACGGGCTGAAGAATGGGAATGTGCTGAAATTGACTGAAATTAAGCATAAATTAATGCCCAGGCCTTCCCCTGAAAGTAGAAAGCTCTCAATAGACTCCAGAGATCCAAAATAGTTATATCATCTCAAATACAATAGGAGTGTGCTTCCCTTGTGGATTCAATGAAATGCCTATTGACAGGAGTGACTTCCCTTGCCTGGAAATATTGTCTGTATTAACCAAAGTAGTTACACTCACAGTCCCAACTTAGATATCAAGGAAGAACAAGAAGTAAAAAGCAAGAAGAAGAAGTAAATACCATCTGAGTCATATCTGAAAAAATGATAAACCCACATAATTTTTTTTAAAAGAACCACAATCTGTTAGGTAAGAATGAATTGTTACCTTATCTTACCTGCAATAAGTAATACAAATTCCCAGATGTAGTTTCTGAGGTTACAGGGTTTGAAGTATGAACATACATGCCCGGTGAAGTTCTAGTGTAAGGTATGAAAAAATTCACTCTGACCTGAGGAATTTTGTACCTTTTTTTTATGATTATGAACAATAGTGGGACTGCAGCAGGGGATTCTCCTTTCCTTCTGGAAAATCCCTACTTCTTCCCTCTTAGAACTGAAAGGGACTAACTCCGTGTTATGAGGCTGTTGGGGAATTTCAGCCAACTCCTTTGGAGAAAGAGATGGAAATAAGCATTCCTCAACAATCCCATTGATCAACCACAGGCTTCTCATAAGCATCTCTCAGATTCCTATAGATTGCACCGAGGGAGGAGTGGGCAAAATGGAATCACCACATTGAGTCACCTTTACTTTACTGACTGCCACTGACTATAATAACTATTCATTCTTTCTGAAGCCTGGACCTATCTGGCACATGCTAGAGGGTAAGAAGTAACAGGAGGCCTTAATGGTCACCATGGCTTCCTGGCAGAATGCTTCAGCTCAGTACCAGTAGGGAACAGGATATCTTTGAAACCAGATTCCTGAAAACTTGGGTCTGTGCCACCACCAAAATTATTTAAGACCAAATTTCAACTAATTACATGGCATCCTATCTATGTCACTTCTGGTAACCCACAGCTTCTTATGTCACTATAGATCAAGCTCATTAGTCCTAGTGTCTCATCTTCCCTCTGTTCTTTTCCCTCCAAATGCTTCCACTTCTGCTGTCAGGGGTCTTCAGAATCCTCCATTCTCAAAAACAACCAATCAAATCCAAATTCTCTACATCCTTAAGTCCTTAACCTCTCACAGGGCATGCCCTGGATGCTCTTTTTTAGCAGAAACCTAACTTTGATGAAAAGTCAATTATTTTCATGTTGACTTCTCTAATATAGGCTGCACATTCTCCTATAAGTCAACGTGAACATCTCAGCCCTGGAGGCAGGGACGGCATCCTCCTGGCTTCCTACTGCCACTTCCCGTTTATTGCACATTTATTTTCATTCAAGGAGCCTCTTTTAAGCTCATGCTGTCTGGCTTTACATCCATTTACCTGAACCTGCTGCTCTCATCTTCTAATCTTTAGACAATTCCCCAACATTTAATGAGAACATTGTCATCTGACCCACAGTCTTCATCTTTAACTATCCAACATCTTACCCTACATCTGAGCTACTTAACTGACCTTCTCTGTGCCAAAGATCTTTGCCTCCATTCAACTTCCACGTTGTAATTCCAAAGTCATACCATGGGTCTAGTCAACCTCAAGAATCTTAAATCCAGATTCTTAAACTTTGACTGCAAACCATTATCCTAACACTTTTGTCTCATTGAAACAAAAAGAGAAGAGAAAATGGAGGGAAGGAAAATGGGAAGGAGAAAGAAAGAAAGAAGGGATGGGGGGAGAAAGAAAATTCCATTCACCATCTCTAGCTACTGCTCCATTTCCTTCTCCTTTTTCTCACAGCCATGTTTCGCAAAAGAATTATCAGCCTTCACTATCTTCAGTCCCTCATTTCACATTCTTTCTTCAGCCTGCTGCTTCTATGCCAACATTGAAACTATTCTCACTAAAGTTAACATTGTGTTCCTAATCACTAGCTCATCTTTGAAATCCTCTTGTTTGGGTTTCTTGACTCTCTTTTAGTTTTTCTCTCACCTCTCTGAGTATCCTTGTTTAGTTCTCTATGTATCTCTTAAATATTAGTAGTTCCCAGAGCTCCATCTATGCTTGCTCTCTTTGTACACTCCTCTTTTCTAAAACAGCCTCTCTATTGCCATTATTTCTCCCAACATACAATGATTGCTCAGCCGATACACATCAACCCCACAGCATTCTTCCAAGTTTCAAACAATATTTTTCCTTTGCCCCACAAATATCTCCACTTCAATGTGCTACAGATACATCAATATCAACATACTATTTATCCATTTATTTATGCAGTATGTTATACCACACAAGCAAGAAACAGGTGAGGCTGCCAGACTAAACATCACAGGATGTAAGCTGTCTTTTCCATTTCTATGGTTGCTTACTTAGACATTTCTCATTTCTCATATGAATTATTATAATCACCATCTAGATTGTATAGCAAATACCCTTTACATCTTTATATTTTTATACCCATACCTCCTTTCCTACTGATTATTCAAAATACATAATATACATTAAAACTTTTTTTAAATCTGAAAACAAATACTGATGACACCTAGTATAAAATTTAAGAAGACAGTGTCTCCTTTTAAATTGAGAATGAATTTCAGTACTGCTCTTATTGGTTAATAAAAATCACATTTATGGGGCGCCTGGGTGGCTCAGTTGGTTAAGTGACTGCCTTCGGCTCAGGTCATGATCCCGGAGTCCCGGGATCGAGTCCCACATCGGGCTCCCTGCTCGGCAGGGAGTCTGCTTCTCCCTCTGACCCTCCTCCCTCTCATGCTCTCTGTCTCTCATTCTCTCTCTCTCAAATAAATAAATAAATAAATCTTTAAAAAAAAATCACATTTATGTGCTCACTTCAGCAGCACATATACTAAAATTGGAACGATAGAGAGATTAACAAGGCCCTTGGGCAAGAATGACATGCAAATTTGTGAAACGTTCCATATTTTATTTAAAACACACACACACACATTTATGCTTGTGACAGGAGTCTCCTTACATTATTCTAGTCTAAAAAGAAACCATCTCAGAAAATTTCATTAGAATATCATTTTAGAAATGACTAGAACATTAGTATAGTTTTTTTTTTTTTTTTTAAGATTCTATTTATTTGACACAGAGAGAGAGATAGCCAGAGAGGGAACACAAGCAGGGGAAGCAGGAGAGGGAGAAGCGGGCTTCCTGCAGAGCAGGGAGCCTGACACGGGGCTAAATCCCAGGACCCTGGGATCATGACCTGAGCCAAAGGCAGACGCTTAACGACTGAGCCACCCAGGCACCCCATTAGTATAGTTTTTTAAAAACTAAACTCAAATATGTCATAATAGTGCTCCATCTAACCAAAGTGGAATTCTAACAATAAAAAAGGCATTTCCAGAATAATGGTCAAAGCTATGATAAGTGAGTAGATGGTTTATTCCGGACATCTCCCATTTTCTCCTTCACATCCATTATCCATTCTTCTCTCTTTGAGGCTCTTTGGCCAAAAGGAAGGAGAGAGGAAAGAAGTTGAACTACTTGTCCAATCCCTCCCTATGTGACGGTTAATTTTATGTGTTAGCTTGGCTGGGCCACAGTGTCCAGATATGTGATTAAACATTATTATGAATATTTCTGTGAGATGATTTTTAATTTTTTTAAAATATATTATTTATTTATTTGAAAGAGAGAGAGTGTGCACATGAATGGAAGGGAGAGGGGCAGAGGGAGAGGAAGAAGCAGACTCTCCACTGAGCAGGCAGCTTGATGGGCGGGGCTTGATCCCAGGACCCTGGGATCATGACCTGAGCCAAAAGCAGATGCTTAACCAACTGAGCCACCCAGGCACCCCAAGATGATTTTTAGGTGAGATTAACATTTAAATTGGTGGACTTTAAGTAAAACAGATTGCTCTCCATAATGTCAATAAGTTGAAGGCTTGAAGAGAACGAAACACTGTCTTCCCCCAAATAAAAGGTAATTCTGCCGGTGGACAGCCTTCAGACTTGAAATGCAACAGAGGATTTTTCTGGGTCTCCAGCCTGCAAACCCAACCTGCAGAATTTGGACTTACTGGCCTCCATAATCCCATGAGCTAATCCCTTAAAATAAATCTCTTTCTGTACAGCAAGAAAAAGAAATATGTCTGTGTATATATACACCTTCTCTAGCACTGTGTCTGAAAGTAGCTGCAGCCCTGGTAAAATGATGCCTTTTCCACTTGTCCAGCTCCCACTGGGTCTCACTATTGTCTCCTTTGTTCCTTGGCCATAAGTGTGGTAATATTTCCCCTGTTACTAGTATCTGATATCTTACCATCCTTTATTTCTTAACACTGCCCACACTTCTGAAATCAGTCCTTTCATTAAGGCTGTTGTCTGTCAACTCAGGCTGCATCTTAAAATCAGCTTTGGGAAGCCTTGAAAAATCCCAGTGGCCAGGCCACAAACCAGACCAACTAAAACAGAACCTCTAAGGGCAGGATACAGGCATCAGTATTTTTTAAAGCTCCCCAAGTGTTTCCAATGTACAGCCAAGGTTAACAACTATCGCATCAATGTCTCTTTAGCTGAATCATTTGAGTTGAATTTGGTTTCCAGTCATAGCCCCAACCAATATGCTGTCATCATCTAATATCCCCTTCAATGAATTCCTCTCAAAGCTTAAAGAAAAAAATACATTTCTTGAAATCCTATGAGCATCTGTTACTTGTATTTTTCATATAATTATTTCCTATGCTGGCAAGGGTTATTTCACTTTCAAGAGTATTTTATTTCTCTCCAAATGTGCGGGTCCTTTCATTTGTGTCTACTCAAAAACTTGTCTCCCAGCTACCATTCTCAGCCTTTTCTTAACCCCCTTCCCCCAACTTCTGGCAGAATAATCATTCTAAAATATGTCTGATCATGTTGCCTTATGATGCAAATTTAAGATTTCTATCAATGAAAGTCCATGGACTATATAAATTGAAACATCTTGGTTAGGCATTAAAACCTGTTTACACCCATCACAATCTGGCATTCTCTTTTTTTAAAGTTTTTATTTAAATTCTAGTTAGTTAACATATAGTGTAATATTGGTTTCAGGAGTAGAATTTAGTGATTCATCACTTACGTATAACACCCAGTGCTCCTCACAACAAGTGCCATCCTTAATACCCATCACCCATTTATAATCTAGTATTCTTAATTCTCAACAATCTCCCCCCATTCTCTGCCCCACCATCCTACATTTTACCAAACTATTGCTTGCTTCCTTGATTCCCCTTGTCCCTTTATATCTCCTCTTCATATTAACTGAAATCATTTCTCCTGCCTGAAACCTCCTTCTGTTCTTCAGCAGCCTGACCTTTCAGTCCCTCAACACTCAACTCGGATGTTACCTTCTCAGTGAAGACATCTCCAGTCCCTCTACAATGCTCAATAATGAGTAGCTATCATTAACTCTCTTGAAATGAGTAGCTATTATTAACCCTCTTGAGGGCTTGGAGAGATTTCTCAAAAGAAAGGAACTGTATACTGGGACTAAAAAAAAGAGTGAAGGGGCAAGTGACAGGGAGAAGGGGAAAAAAGGTTCAGTTGGCTTACACAAAACCCAAAGATGAGACAGCATCCATAGCACACATGTGATGAACTGCAAATATGTCTGTGTGGATAAACAAAGGAGATGGATGAACTATAAATCTTGTAAGGTGTTTTTGTTTTAATCTTAATAGAATGAAGTATGTAACTTTATAAACATCATTCACAGAGTCACAGAGATTAAATTAGAGGGGAGAAATATTAGAGACAGAGAGGCCACGAGGAGACTGTAACAGAAACCCAGAAGCTCCTCACTGGAGCTAGGTCAGTGGCAGTGAAAAAGAAAGCACATGCCTTTTCTATTATCTTTCTGTATAATTTTCTATATTATCTATTTTCTATATTATCTTTATGTATAAAAATTGTGTCTTTGTCACAAAGATCTGTTAAAATTCAGGGTAGAATCCAACACTTCTCACATTCTTTTGACTGATTTAAATATTATATGAAAATGTGCATTCCTTTAAAAATTTAGTCAAATATCTTTAATGACATATACATAAACAAATAAATTACAATCAGCTATGGTATTGAAAGTCAATCATTCCTTTCTTTCTTCCAAAAGTTCACCCTTTGCAACAGCTTTTTCTCATTCCACTATTTTTTCCTTTCTATTTGATAGCCTTGTTGGTCGTTTGAATATCTCTGTCTTTATAGGTATATATGTAAGTCTTAAAAAATCTTTTGTCAGTGTATGAAAGACTTTTCATGAATACAGCAAAAAGTAAACATTATTAAAATGTTGATAACTAGGAACAGGGTTGGGATGTCCATTACTAGCTCTGCTTTTTGTCATGTCAGAGAATATAATTTCACCAATAGTGGAACTTGGAGTTAGAACTCTATTAGAGAATTTTGCTTTATATATGGAAAATGTATTTACTAAAAAAATTAAGAACTTCAGATTTCTATTTCAAAATAATTTGAGTGAGGATATAACATTATAGAGTGTCATACATACAGTAAGATAAACCATAATACCTTATGTATTGATTGCTAAAATGTCACATGATCATGTATAAAGCAAATGTCACCAGAGATTCTCACACGGAGACCCAAATGACTCTCATCCAAACCATCCAATGCTCTAAATTCTCCCTGTAACTGTTATTATTATCTTATTAGGGTCTACTTTTTTACTTTTCTGGTATCTACAAAAACTCAAACACAATGAGCATTCTGTGAGTCTAGTAACTTCAGTAGTTCATGAGGAAAGTAATGTTATTATAGGACAGCTTTATTCCATCTCCTGCTGCCTCTACTTTGTTCTTATTCTCACCCCTCCTATCTCTTAATTCTGACCTCTGCTGTATGGTACAGAATCTTATCTTTACATCACACATGATTCATGAACCCTTCATAAGGCCAATACCTTACCTGTAAAAACTTACCTCATCTAAGAACTTATCAAGAGCTTTCCAAAGCCGTTAAAGCAGTTAAAAAGTGCTCTATCTTACCATGTGTGTAATACATGTGAATGCAGAAGACAATCTTACCTAATGGGGTCTGATATTTTACCTAGATCATAATCTGTTTAGTATTTGCCATTATCCATCATTTTCTATTACTACTTATCACTCATCTTAGCTTTTAACACATTATCATCTTCCATCAAGAAATGGATGACATTAAGAAGAAAAACACTTTCTGTCTCTTCCAAGGAAGGAAAGGGGGATGAAATAGGGAACTTGGGGTGAAAAAAAAAGCCAACTATATGGTAGGTGACATCTGAGGCATTTTACAAATATTACCACATTCAATAAACTTTTTAATTGAATCTTCATGATAAAAAAAGTAAAGAAGCTATTATAATTCCTCTTTTTTCAGATGAGAATCCTAAGGCTGAAAGAGACTGAGTAACTTTCTCAAGGTCTCAATAGCTATTAAGTAGGATAGTTGAAGTCCACATTTATTCTGCTAAAATGCTGTGTTAAAGGTTAGAATAAATGTATGTTTTCTTTAACATCCTTTTTGTTACAGTTATGACATCACTCTTTAACCTAAGTTCTTATCCTATTGTCTAAAATTGACCAAAGAGTAAGCAAAGGGGATGTGCCTTAGTAAGAATTTAGGCTCATTACAACCACATGGAAGAGAATTTCAGAAACACAAGGCTTGGGATATTACCTGTTTTTACTAGAGATAGTTACAGGAGAAAGAGTTAGATTTTTACCTTCTAAATCAGTCATTCCTTCATTGCTTTATCTGAATAACATCGTCACCTGATTTCAAAGTCAGGATGAAATTCGAAACTAAACTTGGATCCTGTACTCTAACAAATGTCTGAGACCTTAACCTACTTACCCAGACTTTTACCACTCACAGTCATGCCCCAGACAGAGGAAATGACTCATCTGTTTTAAAAACTGGAAGTGTTAAAGTTAACATAAA